GGGGCACGGGGAGGTGGAGCGGCCGGGCAGTATGAACCGGGCAGCCGGGGAGCCGGCAAGGAGGACCACGGAGGCGCGGGCCTAAACACGGGGCAGTGATGCGACCGATGATGGAATCGCCTCCCCTTCTGCTTTCTCTCCCACATGGTGGGCACACAGCTAGGCGAGGGAACGGACGAGCAGATACGCTGCGGGCTGAGGCGGTACAAGCAACATGACGAGGCGAGGGGCTGTAAAAAAAACTTAAGCTAGTGAAGAGAAGATTGTATCGAGAGAACAGAGACAAAGTGATAATAAAAGACAAACTTGACGTGATCAGGATATATACGTATGAGACGAAGAATCTATCTGCTAAACATCCACTGATATGGACCAAAATAAGTTGTCTGTTAAGTCTAGAATGGGTCGCTGGTCCCAGTAACTTGTCTACGGATCGCCAGAGCATCGCCACCGGCGGCGATCGCGCCGACACTAACAGCTAACTAACAGTGCTGAGAGATCTTACCGCGGCTGGCGGTGGTGGCTTGGGCTTCTCGACAGGCTTGCTCGCCTGAAAAACATAGTTCGTCACGGACCATGCTCTCTAACAACTGAAGCGGATATACCTCACACACCGGAGCACCAGCGGCGTACAATACAATTAACGTCGTCGGCGAAATGAAAGCCATGCTTTATGCTAGTTCTCGACTTCCCTAAGACAACCATACTTGCTTCGACGACACTTTAAGCCCACCACCGACACACTAAATCTGGCGACGAGTTATCTACACATGCATGCGACTGTAAAATCACCAGCGACCTCAGATACCAGCCGGACGGCAGCGGCGGCGGTCGGTCGGGCCATCCGACAACCGGGGGAGGGGCGGGGTGGGGCGGCCGCCGACACCAGGCCGAGTGGCGGGCCTACCTCCTCGGGCTCAGGCTTGGTCTCGCGCATCTGCTGCATCTCCTGGCTGAGCTTGCGGCTGATGTCGCCGGCGGGCGGCGCCGGCTCCTCGGCCTCGGTGGCCTCCACGCTGCTGGTGCCCTCGTCCGCCGACGTCTGGCGGGCCGGCCGGCACACGCGTCATCGGACGCCGGCACGCCACGGCGCCGCCAGTCTCACGCTCACACGCCACAGCGCCGCCAGTCTCACGCTCATACGCCACGGCGCCGCCAGTCTCACGCCCATACGCTACGCCATTCACCCCTCACACGTCCCAGACGCGGCAGACCGATTGCCGCGCTACACAATTCGACGGCGGCCACCTGAATCACCCCAGCAAAGTAAACCGGCCGCGTTGTTTGGCTGATTCATCGCTGGCCCCCGGACCGACCCACCTCCCAAACAGCCCGTGCGGCGGGCGCGGGGGCGGACGACGAAGGGTTTATGAGTGATGGCGATGACCGAGAGTGCTGCTGCGCTGCGAGGACGGCAGAGGGACCCACCTCACAGCGAGTCATCGTCGGCGTCAAAGGCCACGTTTTGGTACTCGTCACCGCCCCGCCCGATCGTCCGCCGCCGGCCGCGCCTGACGTCACAATGACGTCACCATTACGTCAGAGCCATCGACCCCGAGAGCCCGGTACGACATAAGCGGATTTTACAAGGAGAAAGATCCACAGGTGTGGTTGGCGACACATCGGTGCTTCAAAAGCGGTGTCCGTGCTTGGTGCTACTTGTCCGATAACAAGGAGTGAAAACGAACGATGTGAACACGCAAGCTGCGACACCAAGATTTCTTGTAACCAATCTTGATAGTCATCGACGCTTATTCGACCTTCAAATATCAAACATATAAGACTGCACAGACACTCCAGTTCGCCTGTACACAAAGCCCAAAAGCATACAGAACGCAGGGCGTCGCGGCCTTCCGCGCCACCGATCCTAACTCGGACGCAATTCCCAGGACACTGTTTGTTTTCCGCAAACAACTAAAACAGCATCCACGTCGCACAGCGACCCCAACAAAACCCAATACGTAGGGCTTGAAACCCATGAACCCCTGGGCGGGTCCGTAGCCACAAAGTGTCGGGAAGCTGCATTTCTCGCAACTCCCGGTCTCGGTCTGAGTCGGCCCCGCCTCCCCGCGCGTACCGCCGCCGCCCGCGGCATCTCACCTCCGTGTCCTCGACGAAATCGAAGTGTCGCGGCACGAACGAGCCGCGAGGCATCCTCGGCTCGTCGTCCTCGACGGCCGGCGACTCCTGGCTGGTCGACCCCGAGGACGGGCCGCCCTCCGTCGTCTCGTCGTCAGCGGCGCCGGACTCCTGCTCCCCCGACTCCTGGTCTCCTGACTCTGCTCTCCTGAAGCCTGCTCTGCCGACTCCTGCTCTCCCGAGACCTGCTCTCCTGACTCCTGCTCCGCCTCCTCCTGCTCCGTCTCCTCCTGCTCCGTCTCCCCCCGCTCCGTCTCTTCCTGCTCCGTCTCCTCCTGTCCCTCCACTTCCGTCAGTGAGCTCTCCTGGTCTTCTGGAGACATTCCCGGGTCCACCAGGGCAGACTCCTGATCCACCGGGTCCGGCTCCTCCTTGACCGGCGCCGCCGCGGCCGTCTTGCTGGCCGGGGCCGCCTTCTCGCCCCAGGCGGTACCGGCGGCGGCCACCACGCCGGAGCGGGGCGGCGACAGAGGCAGCTCCTGCTCCAGCGAGAAGTCGGACTCCGGGACTGCGGTGGGACAGCCGATGGCACGGTGTCAGCCGACCAGCGGAGACACGGCACGGCACGGCACGGTATGGCATAGAGCGCTAGAAGACGGCACAGGTGAGCCACGGTGTAGGGACAGATGGTGTAGGGGCGCATGTTCAGACGGTGTAAGGGGCGCATGGCGGCACGAGAGGGACGTACAATGCCGAAGCGCAGGGTGTTGGATGGCGGTGGTGCGGGCACGCAGTGGTGAGGTCTAAGGTGAGTACGGTGTAGTGTGGGGTGGTGAGCGCTTCCCCAGCAGCCGCGCTGAACCTTGGTCGTATCATTGTGGGCGCCGTCGCCCAGCCGACAGCCACTAACCTTAACGGACCGCAACCGACGCACACAACCCTCTTCCACCCCCACCCCTCTCCCTCTCCCTCCGCCGCCGCCGCACACCGCGCGCCGCTGACACCTGGGATCCACAGCAGGCAGTATCAGTCGACACTCACAGCTGACCCCGGCACTGCCGCTGGTGGTGGCGCTGGCGCTGGTGGTGGCGCTGGCGCTGGCCAGGCTCGCCGTGCACGTGCCGGGCATGCCGCCCGAGCCGGACGCCGACGAGGCGGGCCGCCACGGAGGCGGACGAGGTCGGCGCCAGCTCGCCCGAGCGGCCGCGCGTCGGGCTGCCCGTCGCCGAGCCGCGGGAGCCCGCGGCCGGGCCGGCCACCGAGCCGCGGGAGCCGCGGGAGCTGGGGGAGCCAGACGGCGGCAGCGCGCCCGACCCGGACCGACTGGCCGAGCGCGGCGGCGTGCCGGCCGCGCTCGAGACCGACCGGCGAGCCGACGAGCCGCTGCCGGTGGGACGAGCCCCGCCAGTGGACGAGCCGCTGCCGGTGGGACGAGCCCCGCCAGTGGACGAGCCGCTGCCGGTGGGAGGAGCTCCACCGGCGGACGAGCCACTGCCGGTGGGACGAGCCCCGCTGGTGGACGAGGCGCTGCCGCTGGGACGAGCCCCGCCAGTGGACGAGGCGCTGCCGGTGGGACGAGCCCCACCAGTGGACGAGCCGCTGCCGGTGGGACGTGCCCCGCCAGTGGACGAGCCGCTGCCGGTGGGACGAGCCACGCCGGTGGACGAGCCGCTGCCGGTGGCACGAGCCCCGCCAGTGGACGAGCCGCTGCCAGTGGCACGAGCCCCGCCAGCGGACGAGCTGCTACCGGTGGCACGAGCCCCGACGGTGGACGAGGAGCGCACCGAAACGGATGCTTTGCTCGACCTATGGAAGGGATGTGGGACGTAATGGCACCTGCAGAAGACCTACAGACCAGATGGGAGGTCTGATGGGACGTGCGTTGACGCCTGCAGGTGTAAGATCCAATGGCACCTCCGGAAAATGCGTAAGACTCCGTGGGATATGAGAAGGGAACGAGGGGACGCGTAGTCCGATGAAATCTGGTGCCACAACGATAAACACCACCAGTCACAGGACACAGTCAAAGCACGAGCACCGCTGCGGAACGACTCCGAATACCCCCGGGAAATCACGTCGGTCAGATCACGAACCGACCCACGACCCCTCGGGAAATCGCGCCTCCCCGACGCGCCCGAGTCCCGAGAGCCCACCGCGAGACGGTCGCCACTCAGTGGCGGCCGCCGCCGACCCGCCCGGCCGGCGCGGGCTGTGGACATCGCGTTACTCACGGCGTTTTGGCCGGCTGGTCGGCCTCGGGCGTGGACGGAGCGGCCTCGGCGGCGGCGGCGGCGGCGTCGCCCTCTGCGGCCGCTGGCGCCGCGTCGGCGCCGGCCTCCTGCGGCGACACGGCCGGCCGTCCCGTACATAGACAGCAGGGTGTGGGCACCCGACAGCGCACAGGACATCCGCTGCCAGTCGTAGCCAACATGCTACCAGGCGTTGATTCACACGGAAGGCTTTAAAATGAGGGCTCAAATCCACTAGGTCGTCCATACAAAGAGCAAAAAACACACCTTGCCTCCATTCACCCCTCCCCAAAACGGGAACACCACCCCGTCCCACTCTAGGTTCCCGTCGCTGGGCCCCTCATCGCCCAGCTCCCGGCGGCGGGCGGGCTCACCGGGGCGGCGTCGTCGGCTGGCACCGCGTCCTGCCCGTCCGGGGGCGGCTCCTCCGAGGAGGAGCCCGCGCTGCTCAGCTCCTCCTCCGTTTCCGTCAGACTCTCCTCCAGGTTCCACTTGTCTGCCGGACGGCAGGCGCCAGCCGACACCCAGTGCGTTAAGGCAGGCATCATATTTGCCGCCACCGGTGGATGGCCCGCGGGCATCATCTTACAAATGCAGTGTTAAACCCGCGTAGATTTCACCGCACGATTGTAACCACGTGGGCGGCAACAAGGCGTCCTGAGATTACAAGCCTGCTTTTTTAACGCCGTCGAGAATCAGACCAGCCGGTACACCAGCCGGGTGGCTTATAGTCCGCGGCACTCAGCATAACATAAATACAATTCCGGACCGCAGCCAGTGTGTCCGCCCCCTTATCAGGTCTGACCGCCAGCCGCCGCGGCACCCACCGACGGACGTGGAGCTGAGGTACTTGTGCAGGCCGCAGAAGATCTCCAGCAGGTTGTAGATAGGCGCGCGGATCGCCGGCGATGATGTTGGCGCCCGAGATGTGCGAGAGGTCGACGTTAATCAGGTCCAGCGCCAGGTGGTTGATGATGGCCTGTACGTTGGCAGCCTCCTCTTCGTCGCCGACCGGCTCGCGGAGCACGCCTACGGGGAGGGGGCGCGGTCGTCAGGGCCTGCTGGATCCACCGACCCGTTCTCACGGCGCGGCGGTGGGGAGGGGGAAAGGGGTGCTGGAGCTGCCGCGGTGGATGAGCTCGTGGAGGAGCACATGACGTGGAATGAAAGGTCGAAGTGTGAAAGGTGTGAAAGCGAGAGTCATCTGTCGCCGCGAGGGTGAGGAGCCGCCGATGACAGAATGACAGACTAGCACGGCGTGAAGCCGCAGTGGTGTCAGCCACTAACACCAGTCCACTATCGCGACACTTCAGGTCAACAAGGGTGGCCATGGCGTCGGTCTCTGGTGGTGGCCTTGGATAACGGCTCAGCAGCGCTAGTCCCAAATATCCGAGCCCAAACAAAAACGCTCCATGATGACCCCCACAGCTACAGCAAAATTAACACCCGCGCATGAGTGTTGAGTTAACCACTAATCATGGATGTACGTGCTCGACAGTTAACAACATACGGCGATACATCACTGCAAAGCCAGCCACCACCGTTCGTGCTAAAATGCAGCCTTTCCCAGCGGCGCTGGCATCTTTGGAGAAACAGCTAAAAGGCGTGTGGATGTTCACCGGTGTGCGGGTGGCCACGTATGACATATACCGTGTATGGTGGCGTCACGTATGACATGTACCGGTGCACGGTGGTCACGTATGACGTAGCACCGGTGTATGGTGTCACGTATGACATATACCCGTGTATGGTGGTCATGTAATGACTATACCCGTGTATGGTGGTCACGTATGACATGTACCGGGTTACGGTGGTCACGTATGACGTACACCGGTGTATGGTGGTCACGTGCGACGAACACTGGTGTATGTGGTCACGTCTGATTATACACGGTGTAAGGGTGGTCACGGTATGGGCAGGTATACCGGTGTATGGCGGTCACGTGCGACGTACACCGGTGTACGGTGGTCACATATGACATATACCGGTGTATGGTGGTCACGTATGACATGTACCCGTGTATGGTAGTCACGTATGACATATACCCGTGTATGGTGGTTCACGTATGACATATACCGGTGTATGGTGGTCACGTATGACATATACCGGTGGTGGTGGTCACGTGTGACATATACCGGGTACGGTGGTCACGTATGACATATACCTGTGTATGGTGGTCACGTGTGACATATACCGGTGTATGGTGTGTCACGTGTGACATATACCGGTGTATGGCGCGGTGTATGGTGTACCTGCGTGCGGTGCTCACGTGGGACGTTATACACGTGTATAGCCATCACGTGTGATGTCGCACCGGTGTGTGGTAGTCACAGGTAACGTGACAACGGTGCCGAGGTGTCGCACGGGACGTGCCGGTGTAAGGCGGGTCACGTGTTGTCTTATCTGGTGTACGGTGGCACCTGTTGCTATCAAGCTGGTGCGAGGCCGTCGCGTGTGACATCACACACCGGCCTATGATTGCCCCATGTGGTACTGTACCGGTTACGACGCGGCCACTAATAATTCGATGGACGCGTGTTATTCACGCCCAATATTATATCGGTGGATTGTGGTCCAATGTGAAGCCGGTGAATGGTGGCAACGTTTAACAGCATGCCTGCGTTTGATGTTCGCACATGCTATCGCGCCGGTGCGCGACGGTCACGACCCCGGGACACATCTGGGCATGGCGGCCAGCGTGCGTCCCTACACTGTCGCACGACGCGGCTGACCTCCGCGGACATAGCGTGCCCGCCGAAGTTGTTACGCATCGCATGCCGTCGCCATGGTAACTTGCGCTACAACCTCGCATGCTCGCGCTGCTACAATGATTTCGCGGCAAGCCGAGAACAAATAAAGTTAGCCGTCCCCACCAAAAAGAAATTATCCAAACAAAAACCCGTGTGCATCAAACTGACCGAAATTTCATGATGCTCTCGAACTTCGTTCCACGTGTATATGTGCGCAGGTACAATTCGTATCAAGCTGATGTCCACGTTCTCTTTTCCTCCCAGCTATGGCGGATTTTGTGAAACAGTGTGGATACAATTTTCGTGAAATTCCCTTTCTATCCACATGCTTTGACTTACGCAACCATTGTGCTGTCTCCCAAACTAACAGCATATTTGCATGACCTTAAAAGACAACGGGTTTCATTGACAAGCCCTTACACATGCTAACTTCTTCCTAAACCAAACTGCTTTTGACTTTGCTGCACCTAAGCTTAACTATGCAGTGGCAGGTAGGGTTACACCACCATACTATTAAAACTGCCAACAGCAGGATTAATCAGCATAGTCTCATCCTTCAAAACACAACAACGGCCATTGCTTTGCAGCTCATGATGAAGCTGCAGTCCTACCTTCTGGAAGCTGACCACACAGGACTTCCAGCAGGCTGGTGAACAGGTTGGACCGGATGTCACTAATGTTGGTGACAGGTGGAACTGACAGCTGGCATCTTTCGATGATCTTGTTTGACAGCCTCACACAGTCTGTAAGCCAAGGTTATCAAACATCACATGTCTCATTGGGCCCTCATTTGCTCAACTCATTCCTATGTTCACTGTTATGTCAATACTTAAATTATTTAGTCTCTCATAATTGTCAATCACCTAAATATGTGTGAAAGCAACTGTAACCAATTTTAGCAACGAGCAAACAGTATCTGGCCATCAGCCGTTAAAAAATACTTGCCCTCTATGTTGACATGCACTCTTTTGTTATTTGATGCAGCAGATACCCACAAAAAGAGCCTTTGCAAAAACAATGTTGGCATCACACATTTGCCCCTTTTTTAAACTCACAGGGCAGCTATGCTTAGCAAAGGAATGATAAAACATGCAGATTGCACCATACCTTTTTTCCTGATTTTTCTGTCTCCCATCTTGAGTGCCAAATTTTAGAATGCCAGAAAATTAGAAAATCCCTGGAACAAAGAGCAAAACAAAACTGCAAGACATGGTAGGTCATAAGCTTGAAACATATTGCCTGGCATCTATGATCTAACACTTAAATGCCTAAGGGTGTATGCATATCACTAACCACAGTTCTTGATGACCGGGCCCAAACCACACAAATACATATTGTTACACCTGCAGTGGAGGTAGGGTGAAATAGTTTCATTATTTTCATTGACAGTGCTCATGTTTAGCACCAGTGCTTCAAATAATTCAGGGATTGAAAAGGCATTTTTAAGCATAAGTACCTTGATTTTTCATATAAAAATAAGTTAAAAACCAATTGCAATTAGTCTGGCCTGAGTATGGCACAAGCAAACACACGGTTCACCACATTGTTGTTGGATAGGCATCCTGGCACAGAAGGCAAAAATTTTTGCAGACCAGACCAGGGTCCCAAAAGGCAAACCATGGCAAGGATGGCAAAAAACATCTGGAACAGACTGAACCTTGCCCTATTTGGGATAGAAACCAATACATTTGGGCAACATGTGCTGGCTTAATGCACCAAAATACACAGTATCTCACTGTGACATGGTGTTTTGGGACCTTGGCCTCCCACACTTGATCCACTGTGGAAGGTTGAGACCTGGGTGACACCCAAATGGTTTTGATGCACTGAAACTACATGAGAGCACCAACACTGTTGAGTCAAATTATTTATGCCAGGCAGGAACACTCATAAATATGTCAACAACCTCTTGCTCATGATAAAGCCTAACTTTATTACCCAATTAAGTGAGAGGATAGTGCCTGACAGCTTCCGAGTTTTACGACTAGATACCTAGACACCTTGACATGTCACACGCCCCTGTCATGGTTAAAAAGATCACGATCGTCCCGCACGCGATCAACACAACTTTTTATGTTCCACGTACCTTCTAATCGCACTCCCCACCAGACCCTCCCTTCCCCCAACGAAAACAATGGACAATTTCTCCCCCACCCGCCCCCAATGCCCCCCTTCCCATGTCACTTTGGACGTAAACAACATGATCGGAATGCTTGGGTGTCGTTCCAAGACAACGACCAAGCGATACCACGTGGTATTCGACCAATTATCTGCACAGTAGAGTCGGTAGAGCGGTAGACGCCCACGGCGAGAACGGAAAACCTCGACGACAGCGCCGCGGTGCGGCATGTCTGTAATCTCTGCCAGGCGGCGTTCGTTGGCGGCCGGGAAAACGCGTCGTGATGGAGACCGAACTGAGAAATACGTCTGTCCTTTTAGCGAAAGGAAAACAGTGCTCAGTTTCAGTTTGTGTTCAAATTATACCCTCAAGCATTAGCTCTGAAGTCACAGACAAAGAATAAGAAGCCAGATGAACTGAAGAAGCTCGACCAATGGTAAGAAATCGTTGCTAACCTGGCGAGGGCCGAGTCAATGAACCTGCTTTGTGTGCGGCCCGCGAGACTGTGAGGAATGATTGTGTGTCGGGTTGCGCCCCTTTTGATCGCAGCGCCACGGGGGCGCACGTCTGGCGGCAGCTCAACCGGCGTGCCGCCAGTATGTTGGTCATCCGAGAGAGGGGTCGACCGTCGATTCGCGAGCACGGTGGGACTGCCGCTGTCCGCCTGCGTGTCCGGCAGCGGCGGCCTTGGACGAGATCGCGGAATCAAATTGTAGGACTGTGGCCCGTTGCCGGGGCATGAACATGGTCGCCAGTGAGCATGTTTGATGTGCTCTTTGCTTTACTTTTCCATACTTCGGTTGTCTGTGGATGTGATACTCAGGATCGTGATATCCGACATGGAGTTGGTCGGCGTGGTTGTGAAACAAAATGGAGACAAAGAACCTCGGTTCTTGGGCCGTAGCTCGCGCGCTCTTTTGGTGATTTTGAGCGCAGCCCTGTGGGTGGGATGGCCATTGGCAAGCATTTCTATCTGGAAATTTACCGCGTTTGTAGGAATATAGCTTTGACATATGAACAGGGACCTGTGCAGGACCTATTTCTTCAAGATTAGTGCGTGTGCCCCTCATATATTGTTCGTATTTGTGCCATACGCGATTTCTTCATTTCGGACCACGCGTTCACGCAGCCGCAGGTGCGGGGCAGAAATAGCGAGTTAAGACAACTGATGTCTGAGTAGGTGTTCTGTTCAGGTCCCTGCACATGTTTGCTCGGCGGCTCGGGTTCTGGCTGAGACATACGGTGCATGCCTTTTACGTCAGACTTTTTCGCAAGTTGAATATTTTGGGGGAAAAACAGAACGGGAGAACGCGACGGAACGGAAAGGAAACAACGCGAACCTAGATAAATTTCTCAGGCAGCACACTCGTCTTAATTTTCGCCCTTCTCGTCACGCGGGGTGTCACCCCGGCGGCTGGAATGCTATCGGACGGAGGCTCGTGCCTGTGCCGACAGTCGCCATAGCTATCTGGATAACTGATGACGCTGTAGGGCGCTGTCTTCGCGCAGAATGGCAGGCGATTCAAACACATTACAGGAGACGATTTGGGTTGCAGGCAGGGTTTTCTCCAATGCGGTCGGGGGGGGGGGGGGCTGGAATGTGAACGTCTGTGCCTCTCCTCGGGAGGCAGTGGTGACTCTTTTGTTTCGACCGTGTTGTTAGTAATCGGTGTACCCCCCTTCCCCCCCCCCCTCATAGAACCTGCGTATTCCCCTCCAGGAAATCGTTTGAACTCCGGTTGCCAATTATTTTGACCCCTGCCCAATCCGTGCCCCCTGGGTGCTGGATGTGGACAGGCTGGAAGGTATCGGATTGGTGGGGCACGCCCCCAATTTTTTGAAACTCGCACCGGTCGAAAACGGCGCTCTCACAGCGGCCAGTTGTACAGCGCCTCCCTCTGAGCGTCGTTTCGTGTGGTGGGTCGGAAGACACCCCGCCTGCGCCCGACCCCGACCCGGCAGGCGACGATCAGTCGGCTGGGGCACGCTTCCGTCCCAGACCGGCCGGTCGGTATGGTCGGGACAAGTGGCAGCTGTTGAGCGCCGCCCGGCCTTTCCCTGTTTAACATTTTTGGTGGAATTCGCGCTGCTGCCACCGTGTTGGCGACACTGGCGCGCGCTCGCCCGCGCGTGGAGATTATTGTGATTGGCTGAGCCACCGGCCGGCTGTCCGCCGTTTTTCAGGGATGGTCGCGACGAGCGGGACGTGCGGGCGGTCTGAGCTGTCGTCGAGTCGGGTTTTGTGTGGATGTCGTGGTGCCGCTATTGCCAGTGACCCGGTCGTGCGCCACTGAGCCACTGGTGTAGTAGTGTGGCCGCTGCGCCAAGTCAAGTTTTCTCTGCAGTGCCAGCTCCTTTTATTCTACATTTCGTATGTTCTAGTGCCATGCACTCATTGTAGCGAGTGCTTATTGGGGTTGTTTGGGGAACTACCTGTGTGCATGCGTCATTTGCTGAAAAACGCCGGTGGATAAGCCGAACAAAGCCGTAACATTGACGCCTCTGCCTTCATTTTGTGCCTTCCCACTTGTGCTGCATGCTACATTTGTCCACGTATTTTTGGCAGTGTTTTGGCGTTTCCCGCACATCATCCAGTTATTATGTTGACATCCGTCGTTATATCAAACGTGTTTCGGTCACCATGTCACGCACGCTTTCTTTTAAAGGCCTGGAATGACGTTCTTATTTATTCGTTTTCCAAACTGCCTCTCTCTGTGATGAAGAGATGTTCGCGAAGCGAATAAGACGAGACCAAGCGTGACGATCTGGCTATACTGATCAACGTCTGGTGGCAACATTCTGGTGACCTGACGTTCCGCTTGGCGGGATTGTCCAGAGACGGTGCTCTGCGGCGCTCAGTAAGACCGCTGGGCAGGGACGTCACCGGGCCGGCATGGCGCTTGGAGGAAGGGAGGGGGGGGGGGGGAGTAACCGATGACCGCGGTCCAAGACGGTTGCTCTGGATGGAGCGGGTGGCACAAACGCGTGCGCTGCAGCGGGACGGACGGTCGGAACAATGGGCTGGCCGCTGCTCGCCCAAGGCCTCCGCGGAGCCACGGGGATCTGGGCATTTTTGGCGGACTTCCTTCTCCCCCTCCCCCTCCCCCCCCCGCCGGTTACGTTGTGCTGGCTGGACTGCGGGGCACTTGTGTTCTGCGGGAAAACTTTCCGTTGACAATTCTCCTGACGCAGCTGTTTCGGTACCCTGAACCCGTCTCGCAACGGCCGCCAGTAACTGGGCGATTACTGGCGATCCGTGGCCGGGAAGACGCCCCGGCAGCGGCAGTAACTGGCCGATTGCTGGCGATCTGTGGCCAGGAAGACGCCCGGGCAGCGGCAGTAACCTGTGCGTCCCCTAGCGTCGCGGACACCACCATGCAGTGGGCGCAAAATGACCTCACAAATCGGCGTGCCCTTAAACCCTATTCATCATCATCATATCATTCATATCATCATTACTCAAATCATCATCACGCCATCATGCGGGTGTGACACTGCCGCCGGTAACTGGACAACGGCAGGTGGATGACGCCGCCGTGCGGTGCACCCCCGCTGCGGGAAGTCGGCTCCATGTTTTCCTGCACACTGTCCAGTCCGCCAGAGGCCTTTTCTGCCTGCTTTGCAACGAACGAGGACGTCAACTGAACGCAGGGGGGCCGCGGAGGATCGCCCACGGCGCGGCGCCGGCGCGTTTTCGCGGCCGCGGCCGGCCAGTTGCTGTCGGCTGAGTTGGCGGACGCTCTCCGCGTTCGGTGATATTATCGGCGGCACCTGCAGCCGATGCTCGCTGCGGAGTGTGGGAGCGTCCCGCGCGGTCCGGGCGTTGCGCGCTGCCAGTGCTGGCGGACTTCATGGCGGTGCGTCCCGAGCTCGCCGAGATGGAGGGCTCGTGCATCAAAGTGGGTCGCTTGGATTATAGGTGGCGGGAAGTATGGGAACGGTAACGAAAAGGAGTGATTCTGGTGGGAGTCCACGTTGTTGTGTTCTGTCGCGTTGCAATGAGCTTGAGTGCATTGTCGTTGTCTTCTGATCCTGCAGCCTGCAAGCGTTGTGTCCATGGACGTTGTCAGTGGGGAGGGAAGGGAGGTCTTGTGTGACTCCCTGGAACCAACACCGATGCCACTGCTTCAGTGATTTTATCATCCCGCAATATCTGTTTGCTGGCTCCATAACAGCAGCTGGATCCCCATAGACCAGGCGTCACACTGGCGCCATGACTTGTAGCGTTCCTGCTGTGTAACGTGAATCAAGCCGCGTGATGCAGTCATCACTACCCCTTCCCTCCATCCCACTCCTCCCACTCCTTCATATGGGCGCTGCATGACCTTCAGCAGTTGATGCGCCCTAAAACCCCAAATCATCATCATCATCCCACCTCCTCCATCCCACTCCACCATTTGTACACGCATCATGGACGTATGCCCCCTTGCCTCTGTGGCCTCCCAGATAACGTCAGCGTTTCACGGCCGTTACCGGCGCGGACTGAGAACGGCGACATGCCGGCGCAAGTGTCTGCATAGCAAACGGTCGGCTGAGGCCTGCAGCCGGACCCGCGCCGTCCGCCGGCCAGCCGTGTCGACCCGACACCGGGCCCGAGAACACGTGGCGATGATGCTTGGAGCGTCGTGTTACCCACGTCGCCGGTGTTGGGGCGTGCAGGCCGGCTGTCAGCAGGCCCTGCTGGCGAACCGCTCGAGACGTCAGTGTTAATCTCGCGATTGGTCCGTTTGATGCTGGTTTGGGGTGTTACCTGGCTACACGGCGAGTCCGTTTGCTGCTGGTTTGGGGTGTTACCTGGCCACACTGCTAGTCCGTTTGATTCTGGTTTGGGGTGTTACATGGTTATGCGGTTAGTCCGTTTGAGACTTGGTTGGGGTGTTACCTGGTTATACGGCACCAACTTCCGACCAATTCTGACATGTATTCTGATGTCAGTTGACGGCTTGCGCTGGGGGAGGTGTAAACAGTCGCTCCAGTGATGGTTGCATAAATTGACAGTTGCAAACCAGTTATG